TTTTTTCTTGTCAAAATGCTTTCATATTTTTGAATGATTAAAATATTTTTTTATGATATATAAGTGTCCTCTTATTTTCGTAAGACCTTCCTGCATGAATGAAGCTACTCCTTAGATGTTAACATTGACCGTCTTGCATGGAGTCATAGATTAAATGGTGTTGAAAATGGACTAGGCATCGTCGTCAGTGGTAGAGATGGTGCTATAAGTTGGATGATAGTGGCCTGGCAATAGAGATGGTAGTGGTTGGGCAACGACAATTTGGCAGCGACCAAATCACGGTTGATTTGCAACAACAAAAATGATGGCCAGAAAGCGATGGTCTGGCAGTAATGACGACTAGATGGTGGTGTACAATGCATTTTAATTGGAGTATGATGACACTAATGGAGAAAATGTTCACAGGAAAAGAAAGAACATGCAAAACATTAGACAAAGTCATAAAATTGATACACCTCACTGTACTCTTACTAACCACAAGCTATGTTGTACCATCAGCAGTCTAAATGCTCTCTGGAATTGCTATGTGAGTGTAAGAGGAGAACTAACTAGCGGCACCTGTCACATATTGAAATGCACCAGAATCTATTATTCATTATGGTAATCTTGTGGTGGATATAGAGGCAAGAAACATTTGGTTGAGTTAGCATAACTAGCAGTATTTTCCTTGGATGATGATAAGATGGATGCATCCTTAGTCACATTACCTGTCGCTCTCTGCTTCCGTCTTTAACATCTCCAGTAACTCGTGATCCTTATCGGTAAAGACTACCCATGTCTTTTCCTCATTCTTTTCAATCATCAGATTTGTCCGATAGACCCCTCTTCCACCCCTTAGCAACCACAATTACGACCACAACCACTGGATTGCCCACATACACCCGTCTCTCTCTCCTTGGGTGCTTTGGACAAGCTATGCTCAGGTGTCCCACTTCTCCACAGTTGAAGCACCTGAGGGTCTCCCCCTGACACCCGTCATACCAGAGCTCAATGCAGCCAAAACTTGTCACGTACCTAGAAGTCCACTCGGCTCAGAGTGTAGCTTTATGCAACTCTCCTCTTGTATCATCAATTTAACTATTCCTTAGCCTTCGTCGGTCTCTCATTCATGAAGAACCAAATTTCTCTCCTCCGCTGGTCTAATTTTAAGCACAATGTAGTCCGTCTTACACAGAACTGCTCGAACCACTCTACGACAATCCATCAGCCAAAGGTGTCGTCAATTCACAATTCAGTCTTAGGGCACGGCTGAGCTAGTTTTTGACTTCCCAACTCACTGTAATCGCAACCTTAGCGCGAGTGTTCACACCGCTATCTGCAGGTTGCCTTCCCAGCAAACCGCGACCCCTTCATCACCTTCCCAGAGAGTTGTGATTTTGTTGTTGCCTTCCCGATTTCAGCAATGGTGCTTCAGTCAGTACTGCATCGTGATTCTTCATCCTGTCCTCTGATTGTATTGCAATCTCGATACTTCACACGCGCTCCCCTCCCAGGTACGCTGCGACTGTTTCGATTGCGATCCCGACTATCGAGCAGTTGAAGGAGGAACTCCAAGTCGAGATCCAATCATTTCCTTCCTGCGATCCAATTAATGCGACGCCAGGACGAACTGATCACGTGCCTTCATCCCGTGATCCCTTCCCAGCTGTGAGGACGAACCCCGTGCTTTCCTAGTGAGCGCGACTGTATCGCGAGGAAGAAATAATTGCGACGGCTAGACTTTGATACCATGAAGAAAAAATTTAGTAAAAAGTTTGTTCCTTCATTCATGAGTTGGGCTTCTCTAGAGACCTATAATCCTTTTACAACTAACCCCAATACTTCTTCAATATTTACTATTTACAATTAAACCTCTCAAAATAAGATGCAAATCTCAACAAAGTCAAATTAGTAGAGCCCACAACTATAAGATCAAGAAAAAGTTGAAAAACAATATCAAGGAATAAAAATACTAGTAAAATTCTATTTCTACAACAGTTTAAGTCTTACCATCACGCGCTTGGGCTTGTTGTTGCATTCTTCGTAAGCGCATCTTAAGCTCTGCATTCTCGGTAGCCAAACCATTTGCGTCTCTCTGGCAAAAAAAGGCAAACACAAATAGAATGAATTCAACTTTCAAAATTGGATGTAAGAAATATTACAATAAAAAATAACTGAATTATTCAAACCGAAATGATCCATTGAGAAGAGAACTGGTAAATTGTTCAATGTTTAGCAACCTTCCAGTGAACCAATTAAGACATGAGTATAAGGTCTCTTGAATATTTCAAGGCAATTTACTACCACAAAAGAGTCATCATCGTCATTGGTCAATTTCCCAGCTACATCGTCATTGGTAATTTACTCAATTCATTAGGTAATGACAGCACATGTTGTTTTGATGAGTACAAATACGACAATTAATCAACTAACCATGTTTTTCCGATTTTTAAGCAAGGTTTTGCCGAGGAGAAACCAAAGTAACACAATCAAGAAAAAATTATTACTGGCCAAGTCTAGGTTTCAATCTTAAGTGTGTTATTGTTTTTAGCTTTGGGCAAAAATATGAGCACAACTAAGTTGCCAACCTTTTCATACAAGTTATTTAATGTAACTAGGGTGCATACTTTACTTGTTTTAATCATAAAATACCATTAAATTCTTATATTTGGTTTTGACCATCTTGTATACTTTAAAAAGCTAATTCCCAGCAATAACAAATTAATTTAAAAGAAATAGGTCGATCGGTTTTATTCAGAGCTAACAACCACTACAAGCTAAAATCAACCACCCTGCATGGGTCAGGTCAACTGCTCAACTTCGCAACAAATCGTCTAAGCTCCATAAATTAGTAGGTGTCAGCCTATTTGCCCAACTAGGTCCAAATTTTTTTTAGGATGCTCGACCTCCAAACAGTTTGTCCTATTGTTCCCAATAGCCATCTTTTTGGCCAAAGCTCCTTATCATTGATTTTTATTAGTATATAACCAACTAAAAAATATTTTCAGCTCATTTGATTAGAAATTTGATTGGTTCAATGATGCAGGAGCGCACTCACAAGCCCCACATATGCAGGAATAGAATTGGAAAGGGATTCCGTCCAATAAGAACCAAAGTGGTAATTCTCCCATATTTGTTGGACCACCGACCGTGAGGAGCTTGCTTACCTTATTTCAATTAATAATTAATTTGAATTAATAATTAGGGTGGGGTTTAATATATGTTTTGGCATAAGTATGTTGCTTGGAGTATGGTTCGACACTTTTAGATTCTGATTTATGCAATAGAGATTGATTTCTCTAATTCCTTCTTGCTAGACAATTGTATCCATAGAACTTTCTCATGTGGTGTGTCTGAGCTTGATTGGATTGAGATGATGATCTCTCCTAGACATTTGAAATCCTCCTACCGGTTCTGTAGCCGACTTGCATTTTTCCTGTTATGGCTTGTTGTCCGGCTCTGTGAAACCCGATTTCTCAGCCGCCATCATCTTTTAACCCTTCTTTCTCTTCCTACAACTTACATAACCCATCTCTTGATCACCACACACTGTTTAGTAACCTAGATCAGTGCCACTCAACCATACATTCTTGTAATTATATATAACTGATTTTAAATCAACTCAAACTACTCAACTTGGTTTTAGCTTTTGTATGAGCATGAGC